AGTCCTCCTGCCAAGGACTTGAAGATGTTGGATGAGCATGATCTGGGGAGGCTCAAATGCAGGATAGTGGAGCTGAACTGACTGGGTGGTGACAAGGGGCAAAGAGTGGAAATTCTATCCCTCCCACCATGAACACACGAGGTCATTTTGTTGGAGATCAGTACAACACTAGGGCACTGCTCAATGCTGTCACAGGGAGCAGACAGGTCAGAGGGAAAAGGTACAAGGCACAGAGGAATCAGGCACCCACACTGAGGGTCAAGGGTGGAGATAGAACACAAGCAGATACAAAAATCAGTCCCCGTGGTCATATGTGGTATTTACCCCCGACAATCAGTGTGGCTGAGGTCTTCTCCTTCCCACATACACACACGTACTCCCCAGCATCCTCCACAGTCAGGTCACTGATCTGCAGCTCACAGGTGACCCCGTCCTGCCTCAGGCTGTATCTGCCCCCATCTCTGAGGATCTCGGACCCCTTCCTCCATTCCACAGGGGCCGCCTTGCTCAGCTCACAGTGCAGTGTGACCATGGTCCCTTCCACGGTCTTTTCATTCCTTAGACCCTCTTTAAACTTGGCAGGTAGGGCTGGGGAAATCAGAGACACGTGGACACAATCATGCTCTCTGAGCACATGAGACGGACAAAACATAGAAGGAACAGGGAATATACAAGACACATTGGACACAAACCCCATGCTGGGTGTGGTAAACACAGGCTGTGGATTGTCGCTCCTCTTGACCTAGCCTGTGTATTACACAGCAGGGCCCCTCCAATAGTCTCCTTAGCCACATACTGGCAGGAAGGACCAGAGAAAGTAAAAAACACATAGAGAACACCAGATTGTCTGGGAAACATTGGGGGATAGGACAGAAAAGGACAAGACATAAAACCCAACAGGACAATATGACAGAATCAGCAATGGCACAAGGGCAGGAAGCTGGCTACAGATGCTGGTTTCTCCTGGTTCATACAATGGCCCAGGGAGCCAGAGGGGATTCCATGTAGGCATGGAAACAGGATGGTACAGACAGGAAGACAACATGGAATGAGTAGAGATGGATGCTATGAGATCAATTCCTGGACACCAGAACACGGCTCTGTATGGCCACATGCGGACTTTACCCCTGATGGTCAGTGTGGCTGAGGTCTTCTCCTGCCCACACACACAGGTGTACTCTCCAGCATCTGCCTCAGCCAGGTCACGGATCTGCAGCTCACAGGTGATCCCGTCCTGCCTCAGGCTGTATCTGCCCCCATGCCTGATGGTCTCAGAACCTTTCCTCCACTCCACAGGGGCTGCCTTGCTCAGCTCACAGTGCAGGGTGGCCATCGCCCCTTCCATGGCCTCTTCACTCCTCAGATGCTCTTTGAACTTGGTGGGCAGGGCTGGAGTGGGTCAAAAAGATGTGGACATGATCACGCTCTCTGGACGTGACACAAAACCCAACTGGACATAGGTCACATACAGAATGTGCTGAGCACAGGCTGGACTGTAGATTCCTTTTACCCAACCTGTGCGCTACATGCCCATGGCCTCTACAGTGGCCTTTTCAGGCCTCACACTTTATACGAATCTGACTTGCAGGCCCAGAGTGGATCAGAAACACATGGATATTGTCTGGAAATCTTTGGGGGATAGGACATGAAGGAGAGAGGACATGACACAGAATCTGACAGGATGAAATCAGTGGTGGAGTAGGGATAGGAAGCTGACTACAGATACTGGTTTCTCTTGGTTAATACAATGGTCCAGGAAGCTGGAGGAGATTCTATACAGTTATGGAAACAGGATGGCACAGACAAGAAGACAACATGGAATAAGTGGAGATGGATGGCATAAGGTCAATTCTTGGACACCAGAACATGGCCTTGCTTGGCCACACGTGGTCTTTACCCCTGATGGTCAGTGTGGTTGAGGTCTTCTCCTGCCCGCACACACAGGTGTACTCTCCAGCATCCTCTTCGGTCAGATCATGAATCTGCAGCTCACATACGGTCCCATCTTGCCTCAAGCTGTATCTGCCTCCATCTCTGAGAATCTCAGGCCCCTTTCTCCATTCCACAGAGGCTGCCTTGCTCAGCACACATCGTAGTGTGGCTGTGGTCCCTTCCTTGGCCTCTTGGCTTCTCACATCTTCTATGAATCTGGCAGGCAGGGCTAGGAAAGGCCAAGCAGTCACTGAGGACATCAGGCCACTGATGACTAGATATAGGACACAGAAACCCATAAAGAGCCACACAAACTGCCAAAGGACCACACGTGAACAAGCTAGGAAACAAACAGGTAGTAGGGAAGTAAAGGACCGAGAAGGAACTGAAAACACAATGACATAGATGAATATGAAGACACCTTATGAAAAGGAGAAGGGGAGATGGGAGATACCCAGAGGACCTCAGTGAGAGGATAGATGGATACAAGGTTGTTTGGGTTCTATACCACACGGGGAGGCAGAAAGCAGTGATATGGAGACCATGACGGAGGACACATGATCACAAATGGTTTTTACCCTTCACATTCAGCATGGCTGATGTCCTCTCCTGCCCACTCATGCAGGAGTACTCTCCAGCATCTGCCACAGCCAGGCCACAAATCTGAAGCTCACACACAGTCCCGTCTTGCCTCAGGCTGTATCTGCCTCCATCTCTGAGCATCTCGGGCCCCTTCCTCCACTCCACGGGGGCCACCTTGCTCAGCTCACAGTGCAGCCTGACTGTGGCCCCTTCTGTGGCCTCTTCATTTCTCAGAGCCTTTTTAAACTTGGCAGGCAAGGCTGAGAGGGATCAAAAAGATGGAAACATAATCAAGCTATCTGAGCAAGACAACAAACCCCACTGGGCATGAGCTGTTTGCTAGATGTGCCAAGCACGGGTTGTGGATTATGGCTTCCCTTAGTCCAGCCTATGCACCACAGGACCACAGCCCCCACAATGGCCTCCTTAAGTCTCACTTTATATGCATCTGGCAAGCAATACTGAAGAGTATTGGAAACACATGGAAAACATGGGATTCTCTAGAAAACCTTGGGGGACAGAACATGACAGGATGCAGATTCCAACAGGACAATATGATAGAATCAGTGGTGGCACTTGGGTGGGAAGCTGCCTACAGATGCTGGCTTCTCTTTATTCATACAATGGCCCAGCAAACCATAGGGGGTTCCATGTGGCTATGGAAACAGGATGGCACAAACAAGAAGACAACATGGAATGGGTGGAGATGATGACATGAGGTCAATTCTTGGACACCAGAACATGGCTACTTGGCCACACATGGACTTTACCCCTGATGGTCAGTGTGGCCGAGGTCCTCTCCTGCCCGCACACACAGGTGTACTCTCCAGCATCTGCCTCAGCCAGGTCACGGATCTGCAGCTCACAGGTGACCCCGTCCTGCCTCAGGCTGTATCTGCCCCCATGCCTGATGGTCTCAGAACCTTTCCTCCACTCCACAGCGGCCGCCCTGCTCAGCTCACAGTGCAGGGTGGCCATCGCCCCTTCCATGGCCTCTTCACTCCTCAGATGCTCTTGGAACTTGGCGGGCAGGGCTGGAATGGGTCAAAAAGATGTGGACACAATCATGTTCTCTGGGCAAGACACAAAAACAAATTGAACATGGGACATGTGCAGAGTGTGCTGATCACTGGGTGAACTGTGGCTTTCCTTTATCCAACCTGTGCACTACATGGCCGTGGCCTTCTTAGGCTGCACACTTGATACAAATCTGACGTGCAGGGCCAGAGTGGGTCAGAATCACATGGAGAATAGCAGACTGTCTGGAAAACATTGGAGGACAGGACAGGACAGGATAGGACAGAGGACATGACACAGAATCCAATAGGACAGAATCAGTGGTGGCAGAGAGGCAGAATGTTGACTACAGACATTGGTTTCTCCTTGTTCATTCAATAGCCTAGGAAGCTGAAGGGGAGTCCATGGAGTCATGGAAATAGGATGGCACAGACAGGAAGACAACATGGAATAAATGGAGATGGATGGCATGAGGTCAGTTCTTGGACACCAGAACATGGTTTGCTTGGCCACACGTGGTCTTGACCCCTGATGGTCAGCACGGCCAAGGTCTTCTCCTGCCCACACACACAGATGTACTCTCCAGCATCTGCCTCAGATAGGTCACGGATCTGCAGCTCACACATGGTGCCATCCTGCCTCAGGCTGTATCTTCCCCCATCTCTGAGGATCTCAGGCCCCTTCCTCCACTCCACAGGGGCCTCCTTGCTCAGCACACAATGCAGCATTGCTGTGGCCCCTTCCCTGGCCTCTTGGCTTCCCATTTCTTCTGTGAATCTGGCAGGCAGGGCTGGGAAGGACCAAGCAGCCACTGAGGACATTAGACTGTCCAGAGGACTCTGTTCAGAATGTGAAAACCACAAGGAGCCACACAAACTGCCCAAGGACTATGACATGAACCAGTAACAAATGCACAGATGGTGAGGAAATCACATGGTCTGGGAGGAAAGGGATCACAGAGGGATGAACCTGAGCATGAGGACATCTCCTGACAAGGAGGTAAGGTGGGAGATGTCTAGAGGACCCTAGTTACAGAACAGATAAACACAGAGTTAGCACATTTGGAGGCAAAAGGTTGTGATGTGGAGACAATGTGGGGACACCAAGACACAAGTGCACATGGCCACACGTGGACTTTACCCCTGACGGTCAGTGTGGCTGAGGTCTTCTCCTGCCCGCACACACAGGAATACTCTCCAGCATCCTTCGGAACCACACTATGGATCTGTAGCTCGCATATGGCCCCATCCTGTCTCAGACCGTAAGTGCTCCCATCTCTGAGGGTCTCCAGCCCCTTCTTCCACTCCACAGAAGCCGCCTTGCTCAGTTTACAATGCAGTGTGGCTGTGGTCCCTTCTGTGGCCTCTTTACTTCTCAGTTTTTCTATGAATTGGGCAGGCAGGGCTGAGGAGAGTCAGACAGTCAGGGAGAACATCAGATTCTTTGGAGAGTATCAGCAGACAGGACATGAAAGGACAGAGGACAAGACACAGCATCCAAGGGGCAGAAAGCTACAAATATGGTTTTTCCTAGCTCATACAGCAGCCCAGTAAGTCTGAAAGGATTCATAGAGGATGGACAGAGGATGGCACAGAGTCAGGGGGCACTGAATAAATAGTGATGGGTGGCATGAGGTCAATGAGTGGACACCAAAACACATCTCTTCCTGGTCACACACAGTCTTTACCCTGGATGGTCAGTGTGGCCGAGGTCCTCTCCTGCCCACACACACATGAGTATTCCCCAGCATCCGCCACAGCCAGACCACGGATCTGCAGCTCACACACGGCCCCATCCTGCCTCAGGCTGTATCTGTCCCCATCTTTGAGGGTCTTCATTCCCTTCTTCCACTCCACAAGGGCCGCCTTGCTCAGCTCACAGTGCAGCATTGCTGTGGCCCCTTCCATGGCCTCTTCATTTCTCAGACCCTCTGTGAACTTGGCGGGCAGGGCTGAGGAGGGTAGGAAAGACTCAGACTCGGTTTCATTCTCTGAGCACATAGAAGCAGCAGAACATGAACAGCAGAAAGAAGATAAAATCCAACTGGACATGGGTCACATGCTGGATATGCTAAAACAGACTATAAATTGTAACATTCCTCAATCCAGCCTGAGAGCATCATGGCTGTGGTTCCTCAGGCCGTGTGTTTCCTCAGGCCTCATACTTTGCATGATCTGGCTGGTAGAGCTGAGAGCTCTGGGGAGTTTTGAGGGACAGAACATGGACATTCCACAATTAAATCTGCACTCCAGAAGGACAAGCAATAAAAGTGTGGACATGTGGACATGTGGGTGGGTACTTGTGCAATGAGAGCACAGGACAGACTGGCTCAGCCTATGTAAGTGAAGGCCAGCAATTGGAGGAGCTGGGGTCCTCACTTAGAATGAGGACAGATCCATAGAAATGCCACTGGACCCATAGAATGGACAGGCGGAGGTAGTGGCCAGAGGGGTATTTTCCTCAAGATCATCCATGACTCATCCTGGCTCAGACTGGATATCCTACCAGATTTGAGGGCCCAGGCCCAGCCAGGCTGCTCAGTTCACACTACACTGTGGCTGTGGCTACCTTCCATGGCTCCCTACTTCATGGCTGTTTCATGATCTTAATGGATGGCTGGAGAAAGGAGATAGAAAAATAGGCTGACTAAAACTTCTACCAGTGCCTGATTCTCATCAATTCGTCAGGTTACAGACCAGGGAAGACTGGGATAGACCCAGAATCAAGAACATTCCAGCTTTCTTCCACAGGGAGAGAAGAGGATGCTACCCTCTTCCTGTGCTATCACCCTGTGTCCATGGTGCAGGCAAGGCCCACATGTGGCAAGCTACCCACTGCATGGGTTGAGTGGATGAAAAAAATGAGCAAATGAACAGATGAAGGAACACTACACATGAACATAGCATGTAGAAGCCCACAAAACAGACAGATGGAGGAGGGCAGCCTGCCTCCTACCTCCCATGCACTGAGGCCAAAGGCCTCCCCAGCTGACCAGCCAGAGACTGAGGCCTCCAAAGTGCCTTATTCTATTCCCCTGGAGGCCTTGAAGGACACAGCAGCTCAGAACATCCTTGAGACTCTGTGGTCCAGTAGTAACTTTCAAACATGAGTTCCAGCTTGACATTCTCTAGAAGGAAATGCACTTGTAGTCTAGGCAGGGTGCCCACCCATACCAAGTCCTTCTTCGGACATGACTACTCCTGGAAGCAGCTTTCTCAGCTTGCTGGCAGCTGGTCCACTCAAGTCTTCTGCTCCTCATTCATTGGCAGCATCTCCTGGGATTGAGGGATGGAACAGCTCCCTCAATGGTCTTTCTCTTTCCAACATGGAGCAGCCACAGAATGAGCCCCAGAGCCCACATCCTTCTATGGTCTCCTAGTGGTCCGACAGTGTGAGGACTCAGTGTCTCCATGCTATGGATGCTGGGCTCCATCCATGTAGCTTGAGATGCTGTGGTGACCAGGCTTCTTTGCAAAGGTCAGCAACATTTGTGCATAGAGTCACCTGCTACAGACCCAGGTGGCCAGATGGCCATGCATGGCCCCCAGAACTCTCTCCTTCACTGTACCAAGAGCTGCATTCTTGTGTGAAGAGAGTCCTGGATAAGAGACGATTCTAGTCTGCAGAGGTATCCTTCCCTCTTCAAAGGTGCTTCAAGTCCTTCATCAATGTCTGCCTTGTTCTGTTGGTGTCTCCCACAGCAAGTGATCTAGGCCTTCCAAGAGCCTCCCCTGAGCATCTGGACCCCTCAAACAAAGAATGGGAAGAGTCCTGTCTCCATGGATATACAGATGAGATGTGCAGAACCCTGCTCCTCTCCATGGAGGAGACTGGGGTTGCTTCATCCCAGAAGTTTCTCCCTTATGTGACTATGAGGCCATGGACTCAGGAACCAAGTCCAATGGACTCATTTCAGGTGAGTCTAGCCCTGGCCAAAGCCTTTCCTACCCCCATATGCATGAAAGCCTCTGAGAATCTGCCTCAGCCAGGCCACTGGCTGTTATCTTTCCCCTTCTCTGAGGATCCTGGGTCCTGCTTCAACTCCACAGAGGATGCCTTACTCAGCAGGCATCCCATGGTGGCCAAAGACCCTCCCACGGGCTACTCAGGCCTCAGACCTTCTGTAAATTGGGTTAGACAGGACTGAGAGGAACACACAGACTATCAGACTGTGCAGCTTATAGACAAGGAACAGGCCACAGACACCATGCAACAAGACAGTACACAGAGTAGAGCTGCCAGAGATAGAACCACAAAGGGCCAAGGCCAGTGGCCCTTTCTCAGTGTACCCTGAAACCCCAAGATGCTGGCCAATGGGACAGCCCACACACAGGTTCTTACTTCCAATTTCACCCTCTACAGGATGGACTCTCACTCCCACATGACACATCTACACATCTACTTCACTCTCCAAGTGACAGGTCCTCACCTCCCTCTTCACCTCCATGTGACTTGCCCTCATTTAGTGGCTGGGAACATTGGCCCTGAATGCCCTCCTCTCTAATTTCTCTTATAGCCCGATTAGCCATTCCTCAGTCTCTTTCATATCCTCTTCCCTGGTGTGCCCTTTGTAAGGACCTACAACTGCATTTTGTACTGTTTGGTTGTCTCTCCTCTAACCCTCACATGACCTCTGTGGGGCCTGAAAAGGGCCCCCTTGTTCTCCACAGCTTCCCAGCATCTGAGATGAAGCCCTCATCAAGCATGAGAACATGTGCTGAAAGAATGCAGGAGAGACACCGAAAAGCAGGAAAGAGCACAACACAGGGAGGAGCAGAGAGGGAACATGAAAAGTTGCTTTACACAGCCATGAGTGGACATGGCCACATGTGATCTTTACCCTTGATGGTCAGCATGGCTGAGGTCCTCTCCTGCCCACACATACAGGAGTACTCCCCAGCATCTGCCTCAGCCAGGCTGTGGATCTGCAGCTCACAGATGGCACCATTCTGCCTCAGGCTATATCTGCCTCCATCTCTGAGGATCTCAGACCCCTTCCTCCACTCCACAGGGGCCACCTTGCTCAGTTCACAGTGCAGTGTGACCGTGGTCCCTTCCATGGACTCTTGGTTTCTTAGTCTTCCTATGAACTGTGCAGGCAGTGCTGGGGAGGAATAGATAAGACACAGAAAACATCAGACTCTTTGGAAAGTGCTGGGGAAACAGAACATGACAGGACAGAGGACAACAGAATCCAACAGGTTAGGCACATGGGGTGGGAAGCTGGTGTAGAAGCTGATTTTCCTGGTTCATTAACAATCCCAGAAGCTGGAATGATTTCTACACAGCGATGGGAAGAGAACAGCAATCAGACCATGGAAGGAGCTGAGAAGCAGGTCACGAGGCCAATACTTAGACACTAAAACATGGATCTGTTAGGTCGCACATGGCCATTACCTCTGACAGTCAGCGTAGCCGACGTCCTTTCCTGCCCACACACACACGAGAACTCTCCAGCATCCGCCATGGCCAGGCCTTGGATATGCAGCTCACACACGGCCCCGTCCTGCTTTAGGCTGTATCTGTCCCCATCTCTAAGGGTCTCAGTCCCCTTCCTCCACTCCACAGGGGCCTCCTTGCTCAGCTCACATATCAGTGTGGTTGTGGTCCCTTCTGTGGCCTCCTTGTTTCTCAGTTTTCTTATGAACTGGGCAGGCAGGGCTGCAATGGGATCAAACAGACAAGGGGAACATCATCCTTTTTCTTCGGCATTGGATGAAAAGGTCGCTGGGCTACATGGGCATGGCAAATGGGGGACACTTGCCCTTCACAGTGAGTGTGGCCGAGGTGATCTGATCCCCAAAGGAGCATGAGTACTGCCCACTGTCCAGAGGCCTCAGGTCTCGAATCGCCAGCTCCAGTACCGTGCCCTCCTGATGCAGACTGTATTTGCTGCTGGTCCTCAGGATCTCATCTCCACGACGCCACTCCACAGGTGCGGCCACAGACGACAGCACACAGCGCAGTGTCACAGCACCACCCTCCAGCACCTCCAAGTCCTTTAGGGCCTCCCGGAACCTCACCGGCCGACCTGTGGACAGGCATGAGCTAAGATTAAGCTCACTGCCCAAGACTGTGCCAGAGAAGCCCCCACTCTCCACAATAGCAGTTGAGGGCTGCGGGCAGCAGCTAAGAGTGTGGGGTCAGCCCACCTTGCCCCTCATACATTAGGAGCTGGTGGTGGAGACCCAAGGCTCTGGGAAGGGGTAGGTATGTGTGTCTTAGAGTATGTGACAGCAAAAGCGAGACAAGCAGCACCAGTACAGAGAAGAGCAGAGTGTTATGGACTGACCTATGTCTTCCCACCAAATTCATAAATTGAAGCCTTACCTTTGCTACATTAGAATGTGGCTATGTTTAGAGATGTAGG